TGGGGAGGGCAAAGGCGTTCCAAAATGGCGGTTTCAAGCTTTAGTATCGTGCGTTTTTACACAGTGTGCGCAGCGTTCATTACGTAGTTTTGCGTGTGTTGATACATGAATTTGTCAGGATCCTTGGGTTGAAGTTGGAAGGTGGGGTATGCCAAAATGGCGGTTCCTTGCTACATACTTAAAGGTAGATTCAGACTCCAATTGGTCAGTCGCGTGAGCGAGTTTCGCCAAATTAGACGTCTTGTGCATTTGGATACTTCACAGTTCACGAAGTGTAAATGAATAAATATGGTTTGACGGTGAACAGTGCAACAGATGGCAGTTCATAGTTACAGAAATCAGCCCCATTATGCTCCAAACAGAACAATCCAAGACTTGTTCTTTAATAACCGATAGATTTCCGGTTTTTGCTTAGTAAAAGTAAAGTGAGACAAGTTCGTCCACCGGGAACGACGGTACAAGAAGCTAGCTTTGTATGTGAACGTATTTGAAGCGTTGCATTCCACATTAGACGTTGTTTTTGTATAAACAAACTGCCTATCTCTGTCGATAAACACGTCTTAACCCTAATCTCCATCTCCAAATCTTCGTTCTTTCATTTGGGAGTTGGGAGATAATAGGCCTTAAAGTAGATTTCACCGTCACACCATCTAGCGTTTGGTCAGACGCACGAGAGAGTCGGCTTAAAGTGCAAGTGAACACCGCGTAGGTGCTCTTGTGACTGTGAATGACCTTATAATAGATAGACAAAGGTGTCTTCCCGCCGGAGTTGTTTCAAAATGGCGTCTCCGAGGGTTAAGGAACTGGTAACTATAGCACAGTTATCAAGTCATAAACACAGAGTGTTACGGCGCGTGTACACGCTAAGAAAAGTCGCCAAGTCTATGCAAGAATTCGTGTCGTTTCTACACACGAACTGTGTACACACACCCCCGACGCTACGCGCTCTGCCGCTATTGCATAGGGCGCATTGTAAATGAACGACTGATTATGCGCGTGGACTGATTTTGCAAAGTACCACTGTTGTTGGTAAACCTTTTTGCTGACACACCTTCTATGTATGTCTGTGATTAACAAACGTTGAAATTTTCATACGAAAATATTTGATAAACTTTTCCTCATGTTGTCGCAGTGTAAAATAGAGGGTACCAAACTCATCTTTTTGTTGCAAAATTGGGTGAGTCCAATAAATTCTCTTGTATCTTCTTTTCTTATTCATTTTTCTATACATATAATATGCAATCACCATTTTTTTTTGCTTAGTAGTCAACATAATTCTTCCTCTTTATTTCTTTTGACAGTCGGTAGTAAAACGACAGCTACCTCGTCAATGCACTGACACGTTTACCCTACACACGTCTCCCCGGAAGAATTCGTATCGTGTACATAGTCACCATTTTCTTGTCTGCAACAGACACGAAATATTTTCGTGGCTAGATCCGACAAAATTCTTGTCGTGTACAAGGCCATTCTCGTTTTTTCTTTTGCAGACACGACAAATTTCTTAGCGTGTACACGCGCCATTACGCTAATATATGCTAGAATACTAATTTGGGTACTTACTTGCTATTTTGTCTTTCGTTTGAGGTATTAAAATGGCGGCTGGAAGCAACAGCGTCTCGTGGTATTACACGGTCTGCGCAGCATTAGTTATGTACTTGGTACTTGGTGCAACGGGCTGGTATCCGCAACTCGACGACAAAGCGCCTATTTTACATTAGTTATGTAATTTTGTTTGTGTGTGTCGATATACGATTGATTTTGTCTAGAATCTTTAGGGAGGGTTGGGGGGAGGCGACGGCATTCCAAAATGGCAGGTCCATGCTACAGCGGCGCGTGGTATTGCGCAGTCTGCGCAGCGTTAGCTACGTAGTTTATGTGTGTGTTTGTCGATAGATGATTGATTTTGTCTAGAATCTTTATGGAGGGTTGGGGGAGGCGCAGCACCGCGCGTCTTTTGCGCAGTTTTGTGTCGGTTTTGAGGTACAGGCTTTTATGAGGTACAGGATGACGATTTCTCTTTATGATATTATAGTTCAAATTACAATGATAATGGTCGTAACTACGAAAACTTAGATAACGACCAAGTCGGCAGCCCTCGGAATGCCTCGACAGTCTTCGGGTGACTTACGTTTAACGTTACGGCTGATCTGAATAAAAGCATGGCGCAAGATCGGAATTAAAAAGTAATTAATTTGTTACATACATACAATAAAAAATTTCAATATTAATAGAAGAAGGCATTCGAAAAACTACCTAAATCACGGAATCTTTAGTTTTTGCCAAAATAACAATGATATGTAAGGATGCCGTACAACGAAAACTCGGGAAACTTGACAATTACAATATATTTCTTTTTAACCACGTGTTATTTCTCAATTTTCAACCACCAAAATCAGTATGCCCCACACCAGCCAAGAGTTCCCTTTATCTACCGTTCATTCTACCCTGTTGCCATATTGTTTCAACCGATTTTATCCGATTTTTATCGCTTACTTGAAACGATTTGTCACACTAGTAAAATTACTTGTCAACCATATTGATTGACTTATTTTTTAAAGAATTGTATAAAAATTAATGGCAAATTCGAAGAGACCTTACAGGTATTAGAATAAAAAAGGTTGCCATATTTAAACAATAGCAGATAATAAAAGACTCGTGGAGTACCGCACCAACCGCGCGTCTTTAGAGCCTATGCACGTTAAATATCGATGTATCGAATCCATTAGCATATTTTCTTGAGATTTTAATGGGATTCTGCAGTAACCTCTTTCAAACAAAAAAAGTATCATCAAAATCGGCTCACAAATGCCGTTCTTATTTCAATGTAACCTTAAATGGTCGAGCCAAGATAGCATCCTCTTTTTAACCGACTTTTTGGAAAGGGGGCACTTCCATAGTTGCCCCATTTCATTTTGAAGGAAATCATCCACCTCTAAGGGTGGCTGTTCACGCATGAAGATTCATTTTTATAAATAGCGCCTAAATTTTCTTAACGAGCAATTATTATAATGGTTGATTTTGCTATTTCTCTAATTCAAGGCGTTTTTCTCTCAATATTCTTTGAGTAGTGACAACCGATTTTATTATCTCCAGTGTCAAGTCCTGTACAGTGGCGAATTTAAGAATATTCAAACCAATAAAACTTAGCAAATAGATGTAATTCCACGTACTTTTGAGGTCGGTTTTTTTATTGACAGCTATGATCGGCGATAGAATGTAACTTAATAATTATTGTCTAAATAGGGAACGAATAATTATATATTTCATCTCCACTGTGAACACCAACGACGTGTTTATTTCGGTTAAATGTATAGTATTTATCTACAATAACCATAAGGCGCTAAAATCGTATACAGAGCGCCAAACTCCGCTTTAGTCTTCATTTGTTCTACTGACAGCGCGATACTGCGATGACATTACAATTTAAATTTCGAATAGGTTGACTTGGGACATTGTTTTCGTGGTTTTTGTATTAGACCCGTCGTCCATTTATTTGTAAGTCAATGACAATAACACATAATTTATTTAATATCTGCATTAAAGTCGTGATAAGTTTGTATTTATGATACATCATTTATACGGTTATGTTCTATAGTTTTTTTTCTTAAACCTAGTGATGTAAGCAATAAGATAGTACTATTATGTGATTAAGAAAATTATGTAGTATGGATGCTATAGTAGAAATATCCCCAGAAATTAAGCAAAAGTGTTGCCATTATCGAAAATTATACGAAAATATATACGATAAAAAACATGAATAAATGTATAATATCAAATCAATCTTATTTGATTGATTACTTACTTATGTTATTTACAAATATAATGTTAATTTTGCCAAAAAAATAAAAAAAAATAAAAACAAATTATTTAAGTAACGATAAAATTCTCAAAACATGTATGGGTAAAGTAAAAATTTGATTTTGCACTCATTGATACAGCGTAATTGCACATCAGTAGTGAGTGCGATAGCCTTGTAAGCGTCTTGTTTCTGTTCCTTGTGATTTCAGGCGGGTATGAATACTACTAAATTCCTATACTATATTAGTAACTAGTACCATACTAGTATTAATGATACTGTGGTTGTGTCACGACTCTAAAACCATCTGTCAAAAAGAGGATGCTACCTTGGCACGACTATAGTAAGCTTATTATAATATTACTCATATTCATACAATGACAAAGCTGTCAACCAAGTAATGTATTATTGGTAAAGTGATTGAAAGTCCGAATGATTTCCCAATATTGTCTATTCCTTACTAAAAACAGAAAAGAAATAACGCTATATGAACTATATAATGCCATCTCCTTCTTTTCGTAGTATAAACTTGAAGTACTTACCTAATGTTATTTACATTCAGCGAATTTTAACTGTTAAAAAAGAAAACTATGTAATAATAAAATCTATTAAAATTACGTTGTTTTCAATTATTTTCGCGCATTTTCATGAAGGAAAATTAATAAAACAAGCTGAGTCGTGATAGTCATGTTGTGAATTCGGAATTATAGTCTAGTATCAACTGTTAGTGTCGCCAAGGAGCATAATATAGATGTCGCTGTCATGATTTTACGAAATAAACATCGCGTATTTTTATTTAACGAGAAATACGTACTATTAAATAAAAAAAAATTAAAAAAAATATTGATGAGATTTATAGTAAATAAATAAGTTCAACATTTCATTACAAATCAATATTTAGACAATAAATTCGAAAATAATGTTGTTTCCACTGCGTCCAAGTAACTATTTTAAGATTGCTAAATTTGACATATGAACCATATTAGGTACTTTAATGTTAAAGTCGCGTCGTAGTATGAACTGAGTGAATGAACAGTCACAAAGCTACCAATAAAACATCATAGTTTTAACATTGTAATAAGCTTACTTTAAGCGCGTCTCGGTACGAAAAGTAAGGTTAAAGTAATATTGTTTTAAGAGGTTGTGGTATGCCCCTGTTTGAAAGTGGAGGAAGCCTGTTTAAAAAAAATTTTTTTTTTAGTTGCCTGCCGAACAGATGGCGTCGCGGGGTCAGGGATACAGCCAAGCACAGAGTCACGAGTGGGACCCGATGCGAGATGACTTCGACTCCCACAACTACGATCCTCAGTACCACGACGACGACTCCAGGTATGGCTGCTAACAGATTGACTGCACGTTTGCAGTCAATGCGTGCGTCAACTGCATGCAATCAAAACTCAACTGCTTGCAGTCAATCATGCATCGATGTGAATAATAGTCCGAGAGTCAAAAGTAATTCGATGCGTTACTTTCTCAAACTCGTATCTTATAAAGAGTGATTATTTAGGAGATGGCAAAAATTTCTATTTATTTTAAATTTCTTGTCAAGGGTGTGAATTTGGATGCATTATTTTAAGAATATCTAAAAGCCAGTGTATGAATATGAAGGAAATGTTATGTGAAATAAGCCTTCAAATTTTATAAGAATGTAATATTAAGATGTAATTAAGGAGAACGTGCAGCACCCGGACAAACCAATGTAGGTTTAAGGGTGTGATGTATATATATTTTTGTAATATTCTTAGTGTTTAAAATAAATAAATAAATAAATATACAATGCATTTTTTGCAACTGAAATGGAACTTTGTGCTTTAAGATACGAGTTTGAGAAAGTAAGGCGACATTCTTACGAGTATATTTTTTTTGGAATAATTATTTAATTTTAATTTTTTTATTTATTTGTAATCAGGTTACAAAAACCCATAAATACATACCTTAAAGACTAACATATATAATATACATAATAATACAATAAAAACACTACTGAATAATTATTATTTACACGTATTGTCTGCGACGTGTGACGCAACGTGGGTGTCCGATAGCCGGCCTCGGAAACGTCGGTACATGACACGCTTTGGCCAAAACTCATCCTCCATGAAGGTCGACAGATATTGAGTTGGTACTCTCACCACAAATTAATTAAAATTTACATTGTGGCGGGACACCAACTGCTCGAACCTCAGGGTAGCATTGGTTTTCACCCGTATACACGACGACTCAAAACTGCCGAAAGATGCGTTTTGCGCCCCGCGACTATATATAGTTATAGGCCTCGGGTGACATTATTACCGAAGCCGCACTACTAGGTAGCGACAGGGATCCTAAAACAGTGTTGCACTCTTGTTATTGATAAGAAAATATAGGAAAAAAAACACAAAGAAGATTAACATCGTAGTAATGTGCGATGCTGAGCAATTCGCAAATTCTTGCGATACGTAATGCGAGCTCTTAGATTCTTTTTTGGTCGTAGACAGTTTTGTGCTTCAACCCTAATAACTGCTTCTTGATTCATTGGATGAACACAATACCTTCTGTTCTTCCTGCGGCAATATAAAAGCGCAACAAACCGTGGATCCATTACAGACGTTACAGAGCGATTGCTGTATGAAACCGGCAATACGTCTTTTAAACGCATGAAATTATATCGTGTGAACACCTCGCCGTATATCCGTTTATAAATCGAATACGGTAAAAAACGTGTAGGACAATGCCAAGTGAACGAAGGCTAAGGGCTCCGTTTAATGAACCCCGGGGGTTCGTGGCGAGCCTAACTAATACAATGGACTATAACGCACACACTCAACATAGTTATATGATGGCGGTACCCTAAAATGTAGGATGTTGCAATAATTAACATGAACCGTAAAAACTTTGGAATGTTGCAAATATCACACCCGTGAAATTATGCACACGTTACTTAGAATTAGTCAGACAGTAAATTCACACCGCGAGATATTAAGGTTATACTTTATAGCATTTTTACTTGTTATCGAAAATCCGAGAAAACTAGGTTACAAAGTAACCACCGCCAATATTCCATTGTTCTACTCCTTGGTATATAAGGATTGGAGCTGCGACTCCAGATCATTCGATTGCTGATCGTTCAATTGTTCGACACCCTTTCAGTCTGTTGGACCGTTGTCGCATAAGTTTTTTATATAAATACATTCTTGTCTAATTTGGAAAAAGTGTTTAAATTCAATGAATCCGTCTCCAAAACGTAATTACTCTCGTTAAAGGTTAATTCAGGTCTACTTACCTTACACCCCATCATCTCCGCAAGAAGAAGAGGAGAACGCACTCACAAAAACTATAACTACATAGCCCCGCACTAGGGAAACCCTGTGTCGCGGGTGCATGAACACACACATAGACAACCACAAATTACACCCAAACTCACGAGAGAAATAAATGTAGGCCGTACAAATATTTCCGGCCCGGGAATCGAACCTGGGACCTCTGCGTGGTAGTCCGGCAAGGTAACCGTTCGGCCACAGAGGCAGTTTATATTAAAATGTAATTAAGTAAAGTTTACAATATAAGCTAGTAAAAGCGAAACCTGTTTTTTTTATCTTTTCGGAGAGGGTTCGTGGACTTTTTGTATTTTGAGAGGGGTCCATGACTAGAAAAAGGTTAACAATCTTGGCATAGAGAGAGCAATATCTCGCTTGTGTAGTTCTCGCGCAAATCGCGCCTTGTCGTGCTCCATCTGTCGATACCACGTGAGTGGTTCTGTTGTACTGGGTATTTTTATACGATACCAAGTGACCGGACGAACATGTCGTTCGCCAAGAGATGGACCGTGGGTTAAAACCCAATCAACCCTTGTTTTAAACGAGTTTCCCAAACCAGTTTTATTCCATTTCGGCGCAAAATCATTCCATATTTATTACAAACGATGTAATAGTTATTTGTTACGCAAGGCTGCAAAGTTATCGTTTGACGCGAGTGCTTGTATTGAAACCTGAGCAAGCGAAGGTTCGCTCGTGGTTCAAAAATAGAAACAACTTTGCTGCCGAGCGAAACACACAACTTTTCACAACACTATAACGAGGAAAATACCCCACTATAGCGAGGAAAATGGTGGATGAAAGAAAAACAGTTGAACTATAACAATTAGAGATGCCACGAATGTTCGGCTACTATTCGGTATTCGGCCTACTCGGCCACTTTTTTAATATTATTATTCGGCTGAAATACCGAATACTTGTGTATTTTAATCACAAATTATTGGTTTAATACTTAAAATTGATCAGTGGCAGTTTGTGACGAATGAAAACATTTCAGCATCATTTTGTTCCGCATTGGTTGGTAACGAACGATTGCGCTTTTCCTCATAAGCAATTCCTGCTTCTGAAAATAGCCTCTCACTCTAAACACTACTCTGCCAGGAGACGATAAATAAATCTTTGCAAATTTTGACAGGCCTGGATACTGCTTTGTGTTTGCTGACTACCACTTGTAAGGCTCCGTCACCATTCATTAGTAGCGACTTCTTCCAAACAGGTCCAGAAACTGTCATGTTTTGATTCTATCATTTTTCAACGTAGACACCCCACACTCGTTACCTCCGCACTCAGCGCAATGAGACAGATCGTAAAGGTCACGCATGAAATGCATAGAGATCTGTGCACCGAATATTTGGCCCTTGGGCCGTTAGTGTTTCCGAATATTCGATATTCGGCCAAATCACTATTAGTGGCATCTCTAATAATAATTCAGTTTTAATAAATAAAATTAGTTATCGTTGGCAATTTAATGTCAACAATAAAAATAATTTATATTACATAAATAATGTACTAAAAATCGCGCAGTTAAACGTGTCATTATGTTTTTTTTTAGAAAGAAAAAATTAAGTGCACCACAGTTCATCGTCAAGTTCGAATTTCAAAAACTTTTACAATGATAGCATAGAAAAAACGCTTTTGCGCTTTCTAATGAGAAAGAAAGCCTTTTTGAACTAGTGAGGTGAAAAAAGGTGAAAGAAGAGGCAACTCTTCACAATAACCTACTTTATAATCTCGTGGATACTCACTACTAAAGATGCATATTACGATTAGATTTTTACGACAATCGATTCAAGGGTGTACGATCTGACGATTTTTGTATCGATTTATTACAATCCGATTTTCAAGCGAACCAATTCAATAGAAAGGCAAATCGAATCTTCTATATCACAAAGTACAAGATAAACATTTTATAATAATATCATTAAAATTGAAGAAAATTACAGCAAATATTTAGTAGTAAATAGTTTTTGCCATCAATTTTGGGCATTAATGGGTATTAACCCCATTTAAACCCGGTTAATTAACAAGTTAAAACCCGGGCGCTTGTCCATCTGTGCGTACGCCTGGTGGTAAGCGACCGAGAGAAGTATTTAGGTATGATTCCTGCGCTCACAGGCCATGTTGCTAATTAAACCAAATAGATATACCACTGTTGCCGCCAGACCCAAGTAGAAGACATTGACGTTATCATTCTCAGTGTGCGATATATTATCCTCACGCTGTAGAACGTGATACAACACCAATATAATTTTTTTAAATTTATTCACAGTGAACATGTTAATCTAAACCACTCCAGACTCTACGTGACATCAATACCCAAAGGGCTTAACGAGGAAGGGCTGAGGGCCGCCTTCGTCAAATACGGGTCATTGTTGGAGTGCTTTGTCAGCAGGGACCCTAACAAACGTTATGCCCTTGTCACCTATGAATGTCCTGCGTAAGTGTTTGTTTTTTCTTCTTCTAAAATATCTATCACCTGTGGTAGCCTAATAATGGTTTGAACTACCGCCTCTCAAGCAAAGACCGTGGTTTCGAATCCGGTCTCGCACATCTGAGTTTCTCAGAATTTATGTGCGAAATATAATTTGAAATTTACTATAAGCTTTTCGGTGAAGGATAACATCGTGATGAAATCATCGAATCGAATCGAAAAACGTCGAAGAAGGTTCTCAACACTCGGAAAATGTGTGAAGTCTCAACCACGTATGACCCGTGCCCAGCGGTGGGACGTATGAAGCGTGAAACACACAGCGGGTCGGGTCGGGGTGTTGTCGTCCTTATAAATACACGGAATTAGACCCGACCCGACTCGCACCCGACCCGACTCGCGACCGACCCGACCCGCGCCCGACTCGCACCCGCTCTGTGTGCTTCACGCTTAAATGGATTGATGTAAATGATGATTATCATGGTCAAGCATCCAACTGCTCTCCTTGTCATAACTAACGCATTTGTATGTCAGTTACACTGAATTTGCTTAACAATAAAAGTGAAACGAAATAAGATATCAAAAAACCGATTAGAGGAGTTTGTAGATCTTGTTTGGTTGTTGTAGATCAGGTATATTAATAACTAAATTTCGTTAAAAATTACGTTAAATAGTAACGAGGGCAGCATAACATTGCAGTGACGCTCAGAGTTTTAACCTTTTAACCGCCTAACAAAACTTGTTTCGTTCCCTAGACACTTGTCAACTAACATAGTATTATCTCATAAATTGCGTTATATTATATTTTATCTCAAAATTTCGCTGCATTTGTATGTCATTCGTATACGATTTAATTTCAAAGTGACAGGACAACACTGTCGCTTTGAAATTAAATAAGTAATATTAGGGGTTAAAGTATGAAATTGCCGTTTTATTGCAATAGGT